CCCATTTACGAGGGTTTTTGCCTTTACATCACCTATGAGTGTTCTCTTCTTCTGAATTCTTCTCTTTCTGCCACCCATGTCCCAGATAGATGAAAACTTAAACTGTCAAAGTACAACCTTTCTTTTTTCGGATAAATGAACAAAACCAGGTACAACGTCTTACGTCAATAAATTCAAGAAGTGTGTAAACAAACAAACACGGTATTCCACGTAAATATGGGCATCGCATCAGGAAACTGAATAATAATAATATTTCAGTATAATCATGATAATGTATACTAATGCCGGCCGTATCTTGCAAGCATTACGACTTGGTGATATCAGTAGCATCGGCAGAAAGCGTTCGCCTGTCATCTGATAACATCGCGCTTTGAAAACTTTGTTCGGAAACCGACTTGGTAGGATATGCTAATTATTTTCAAAATTTTGGTATAGTAGTTTATGAAGTACTAAGTCAAGTCTACTAACTCATTACTTCAGATTAGATTAGATCAAGGTGATTCTTTTGAAGAGGTTGTAATTTTGACAACGTCAAACCGTAAACCTTACAGTTAATACCAAACAGTTTTAAAACGTAATCAAAACCAAATTATCTCAGATAAAAAATTCTTCACTCCATGTGACAAACAACGAGCATTGACAGCCATGCTTCCTAAATGATTTTCACGCTTTTTACGTTTCTGTCTCTTACAACACAAGACCATCGAATTTCTTTGAACAAACACATCCATGAATTCATCAATGCACCGAATATTTTCGCTTTATTTATCTTCAATATTAAGGCCTCACGCTACGTTATTTCCGTAGTCGCTAGATGTACCCGCGTTGTTTGTAGATGAGCGTTCGTGCTAGGCCCCCATATTGACAGCATTACCATACAGATACAGCCGGCTTATCGGGAAATGATACCGTCACGTATTAGCAAAGGGTACCACCGGTGGAAAAACCAAGGAAAATTCTGGTTAAATGCAGTGAAGTTTGGTTTTTGTATGATTGTTTTCATATTATCTACAATTAACGACAAGCCCACCTCAATATGTTACAGCCAGAATCTATAACAGATAGGTATCTATTATGAAACACCGAAACAATGAAGTCCACCGCGTCCAAGGGACATGAATAATCGTCTTCTATCCCGCAACGAAATAAATAGAAGATTAATTAAAACTAACGGCTCACTTGCGTGAATTATCTTTTTTTTTTCTTTTTTATGGCATAAGCAGGTAAACGAGCAGACGGATCACCTAATGGTAAGCAATCGGCGTCGCCCATGGACACCTGGAACACCAGAGGCGTTACTAGTGCATTACCGGCCTTTTGGGAATTAGGAGTTTGAGGATCGTTGGGGATTCAGGTATTGGGGAGATTGGGGAAGGGGGGTAGGGGGTAATTGGCCCTCCGCTAACCTCACTCACATGACGAAACACAATGCAAGCGTTGCTTCACGTCGGTTGTCTGTGAGGCCGTGGTATCATTCCGGTCGAGCCGGCCCATTAGTGCCGAAGCATGGCTCTCCCACACTAAAAATTACCTAATTAAGAGAAGCTAAACTAATTTCATGTCACAATGAGTAAGGTGTTAATTTCAATTAATTTAGTCTTACGACTATTATTACACCAAAACAAATATGAAGATACGACTTATTACACAAGGAATAATGTCTACTTCTTTAAGACTTGTTTGTTATTACGTTTTGAGGAGAAAGAATGGAGTATTATGTTTTATTTGAGCAGTAAAAAGTTATTAATCCTTACTTATATTATAAATCGGAAAGTGAGTTTTTTTGTTTGTTTGTTTGTACCACTTTAACGCCGTAACTACTAAACCAATAGCTTTGAATTTTTGCAGACGTGAAGTTAGAAGTCTGGGTATAATAGGGTAGGTACTTTTTATACCGGAAAAAATTGATATTCTTGAGGGAAAACGAAATTATTGGTATAGATGGCGCTGTGTGTATTAGTATAAGACACATAGGCTACTTTTTATCATTTTGTGACGCAAGCGAAGCCGCGGGTAAAAGCTAGTAATAACATAACCTATATTATTGTTTACATATTTGTCAATAAGACACAAATATGCAAAGTCACTAATCTGAACATAAGAATCTGATAGTTCTACAATAAGAATGAATGATTATTCAGCTTTTAACGATAACCTAATCAATACCTACTACATTTGTAAATACAATCTTAACGCAATAAGAATAGCATACATTTTTATCTAAATTGATAAAGAATATTGTATACAAATATGTAATGATGTATTTTTACGATATGACATGTCATGACGAGCTAATTTGAATAATTCTTATTTTTACGTCCTATTTTATTTGTGTTCTGATTTTAAAAATGCTACTAAGTAATCAGTGTGGCTAGCACGAAAACTATCGAGAAAGTATTCGTATCGACATCGAAAGCATTTTCTATGGGATTTGTACAGCGCCCCTACCGTGCGTAAAAGGAACTAAATGCCGCAAGCACGAACGATTTTGACAACTATCGTATAGTAATCGTATCGTGTTGCTATCGAAACTTAGAACATTTTGACACAAATTGGAAGCACGAACGATCTTTTGACAAACGGTAACGTAAATTTCGAAGGCTGGCTATCGAAAACTGTCAAAACATTTGTCACTTAGAATTTGCCGGTGAGAAAGGTTTCGAAACATTTTAAAATTAAGATTTTATGACAATTATAAATTAAAATGAACCAAAACAAGTAGTGTGCGTATGAAATAATTCATCAACATCAATGTTTTCGGGAAACATGGCAATAATGATGCGGAGAATGACACTTGTTGTTATGTTGGTCGTCGTAGATGGATAACTATTGACAAAATTTTTGGACGATGAAAAACCGATGGTGTTGCTTGTGCAAGGAGCATACTCCACTGTGCCACCGAAAATTGTGCTAAAAGCAATAACAGCTTAGTTGTGTTACAAATTTTAGCCTTATATTTTGATATGCCCAAACCACAAGCACTATAAACTTTTATATGCCTCATATACTTATCTTTCTTTCAACATACATTATATAGGATAGGATAGATAGAGGAGATATATTTTCAATGTGCCCAAACCACAATCGCTAGATAATTATCTCATATACTTCTCTTTCTTTGAACATGCATTTTGCAGGGTAGGATAAAAGGAATGTGTTAGAAGACAGAATAAGTAGATTCAATACTCAATACTTTATTAGAATAAGAATAATTTATTTCATAAGACTCCACTTACAATTATATTTTACAAATGTATTGTTAGTTTTGCAATTTACAATATTAATGTTTAATTATGATTGATTATTAATTATAATAACAATACATTATTTTGCTTAAAAGTATTGACAAAAAAAAAACAAAGGACATGTACTAATATTTGTAGCGATTTGCTTGAACTAGGTTTATGCAACTTTAGTTTCAAGACATCACTTTATCACAAATCAATATAATTTAATTTTAGCAAATAGTCTGTCAATATGTTACTATATTTCCAATGAGATAGACTGTATGTATATAAAGACAAATTTTATTGTACAAAGAGATTCAAGAAAAAAATAAAATCTAATACTATAAGCATGTTTATTTGTCTCATTGTATTCCACATGACGAAACTCAGGTATAGGAGCACCATGTCAGCACCATTAGGTATATTTCATTATCTCACACTTCCTAGCATCATCACTTGTTTTATTATCAAGTTGCAAGAACAATTTCGTCAGTTCAAGTTTAGTCTTCTTTGCTAGTCTATTCATTCTCTAATGGAAAAGAAGTGGTTCATGGTGTCGAAAAGCTGGCTTAGACAAGCTCTTGGAATCCTGGAATAGACATTACAATGCATATTAGGTCAAACACAATAAAGAGAAACTATTTAAAACAATAATAACCCGACTACGAAAAACAATACTCTTATATTGTTTTTCGCGCGTATTTTATGTTGAAATTTTTACTTACGATACTTTCCATTGAGTCCACCCTTATTTTGCTTTAGTATTGAGTTCTTTTATATTAATTAAAATAGAAATCATAGTAAAAGTTTAAACAAACAAATAACTTGACATAGTGGCATTTGACCTCTGTCAAACACGACGTTCGGAAATTGTAAAATATTTTATGAAATTACAAAACTAATAGTACCTTTTTTGGTTGTAATAATACGATTATGTCACTTTACGTACCCGTAAACTCCGTTCTTGACCTTTTTTGCTTAACCAATATATCTTAACAAATTATCAAAGCCTTAATCGTGCAGAGAAAGATAGAAAAATATTTTAAAAATGGTTTAGTTTTCAGACGTATTCTTAAGTCATTCAATTCGTTCACTTGGGTGCTTCTCTATTTTACATCAGCATGACGTCACTAACGAATTTGATTCGAGCTCTCGAAAGACGATACGATAGGCTTCGTGCTGCGACATTCCGTTTTCGTCACATGACGTTTCGACGTCTCGATACTATTACGTTACGAATGCGATAGTTATTCGTGCTAGGCACACGGAACCAAGGGTCGATTTATACTAGCGTAAAGTCGAAGCGTCTTTCGAAAATTAAACATGACAAATTCAACCTTAAATACACAGCGTAAAGAACACATTACTACTGAGTTTTATAAATTAATCCTAAGACTTAATTTAGTACCACATAACACATAGACAGGTTACATGGTATTTTTTATTCACAAAAAATCTGCTTGATCTTGGACTTTATTCTACATAGTTTATTCTTATAAGCTTATCATAAATGTTGTTATCACGTGTTGTATATTTTTAGAAGGCTTGTTAACAAACATATGCCCTTAAAGAATAATCGAAGAATACGACACTGCAAAAATTAACTATATACTAACAATACTAAAGCCTAGAATTTAAAAAAATTGTCAACCCTACGGTATACTCCAATACACCAAAGGCTGCATATCCTATAACACTGCATTGAAAAATAAACGTTGCATCACTGATGCTGAAGTTCAATATTGCATAACAAAGGTAAAGTATAGAACTAACCTCACTGCCATCCTGTTGCGCGTTGCACTTGCTGATGTTGAGGGTGCCGGAGATGAAGTCGTTCTGCACGTCCACTATCAGGAACGCACTCACTGGTCGCACGATCTGTTAACAAAACGGCTATATAGCAGCTAGGTACGGACCTTTTTTTGAGGGGGAAAATCATCCAATGACTTCTCCCGCCTTGTGAGAGGCGAGGGGGAGTGTCAGACTCCGACCGACTAAACACCAAACGAATAGACGAATATCACCTGATGGTAAGCGGTCAGCGCCGCCCATGGACACCGGCAATACCAGAGGAGTCACAGGTGCGTTGCCGGCCTTTTAAAAAGAAATACGCTCTTTTCTTGAAGGTTTGAAGGTCATATCGGTTCGGAAATACCACTCAGTTCCTACTTCTGCTCTTCGGGTCGGAGCCCCGGCAACCCGTTAAGTCCTCGCGCCACCTAACAAGTGCAATTCTTACAAACTTCTTTACCTTCCATTATATGTGTATGAATGAATTTCTCAGACCTAATTTTGCTGTTGAAATTAATGACAAAACCAAACTAGGTTTTAAAAAATAGACGGTTTAAACTGAACTTAAAAAATCGATTAAGCGAGCGAGGTATAACAACAAACAATATTAATAAATAACACTAATCTAATTCATCTAGGAGGGAATCAAAGCCGAAACATCTTTTTTATGGAATAGGAGGCAAACAAGCAGACGGATCACCTGATGGTAAGCAATCAGCGCCGCATATGGATACTCGCAACACCAGAGGAGGAACAGATGCGTTACCAGTGAGGAGGTTGCGCGAGTGACAAGACCAAAAAGGCGTACCTCTTCAATTTACGATAAGTCTCGGATTCTCTAATGGAACTCGACGCTTGCAATGGGACATAACAGGTAATTTTTTAAAGTAGAATTATGCAAAAACTTACAACTTTAATCCAATGGTTCCAGCAGAATGTGAACTCCTCCTTATCAATGAACCCGTCTCCATTCTTATCAAACACCTGGAAGATATGGCGCGCCCTTTCTTCGGACAGTGGGTAGATGTGGCCCTTGTCGTTACGGAACAGGGCCTTGCAGATCACACGGAATTCATCCAGGCTTAGCTTCCCGTCCCTGGGGTATAAAAGAACACATTTTATAAAGCTGAAGACTTTGTTTGTTTAAACGCGATAATCTTGGAAACGGCTCGTTCCAATTAAACAATTATTTTTGTGTATTATAGTATATTTATCCAGGAAGGAAGGTGCAGCGAGTGCAACCGCGCGGGAGTACTTAACTAGTACATAGTATAGAGTTATGAAACTTTCTTTCGAGTAGTTAGGTTCCGATAAAAATGCCTATGTTATTATGTTTTCGGTTTACTCACGTAATTAACTATTTGACAAGGAAATCGATTCAAACGACAGTCAACGCGTCGCGGGTCGCAGAATGCTGCTCATGAATATGAGCCTTTAGCATGGCTTGAAACTAGTCCAGTTCCTCGTCAAATAATTACGTGAGTAAGCCGAAAACATAATTATTAATTTAGTATGTCCCACGTAATGTCTATGTTGTGTTATAACATAAATGTCTATGTTGTGGATTGACTTAGAAGTTCTGTAGTTCAGATTGGATATGTGTTTTACTTAGGGTCGATTTTTCAATGCTCGGTTAGATTTTATCAGAGGAATTTCTTTGAACATTTAACAATTCTTCGGTACTAGTAACTGTCAAATTTATATTTTATTTTACAGTTAAGACTTAACTGATAATCATTTTAAAATCGTCCCTTACCGGATCAAAACTACATAATTATCTACTATTGTTACTCGTAATACCCACTTTTTATTATTATTAGTTCTCTACTTTTACAGGGAAAAAAGGAAGTCGTTATGATAAGCAAGCCTAAACATAAAATTGTCAAGTAGGTAGCTATAGCATACAATCACATAACAATGAGTAAGTACCTTCTAATTCATACAATCATTGGTTTCAATAACATACATTTTTAACGATGTTTGATTTTTATATTTTTTTTCTAATACATAACATAACACAAAAGCAGGTCGTATGTACCTCTAGGATGTAGGTACAGAATAATATTCAGTGAGCAGCTTTAAGATAAAATAAAGCGATCATTTCATTTTAAAATAGGTATTGTTTTTTAAATGTAAGAAATAACAAGAAGCACCTTATGTTACTGTATCTAGTCATCGATGCAAATGACCTACATTTATGCAATCAATTCTTTTATATTTCTATGTGTGTAATTGTGTATATTAAAATAGTCTGGTAATGTATTTTTAAACAGGTTTTCTGTGTAATTTATTATAGTGTAATATCAACTAATGGTTTTCCTTTCCTTTTTTTTTTGTATGTAGTAAATAATAGATAACATTAGTTACTTAAATATTGGTGGCTGCAGACTTGTAATCTGTATTTCAACGGGGAAAATATTCCTAAATACTTAATTTGGATTCGGGAATACCCTGATGTGCGATCACGTCATTTCATACTATTATTCTCGACAAAAAGGTAAAACAAATCTTAGAGATACTTCGTCTACTATTACTAGATTGAATAATGGAATCAAGTGTATGAACGAATCGCCTTTTATTCCTCAATAAAGGTTAAGCAGATGAGCATAATATTGAATGTTTAAATGTAACGCTCACTTGTGGCAGTTGAAGTCTCACATATTTGTGTGGTGGTAAGCCTATTGCTATCAGGATTCTACAGCTAAATTAAAAAAAATCGAAATTCTTCTTGTGCCGTCGCAGTTGCAAACAACGTGTTTGCACAAGATGAAACAAATTCGACTCGAGTGGGAATTATCAATTTATTAAACAACATTCGATAACGCGTAGATAGAGGCACGCCGCGCGTATCGATAAAGCTCAAACTATTTGTCACTGTTGAGTTATTGATGAATACCTGAGCACCTATGTCGTAAAATAACAGCTCTTTAAATTGAGAGTATTGTCGTATTGAACAAAATTATTGATTGATCCGCAACATAGTTAATTAGAAAATTGGTTAAAACTAATTTTGATGGTAAAGTCTTAAAATTTTTGAATATTAATGTTTTTTTATATTGCAGTTAATTTGGAAAGCTAAGTGTGGAAATACAGTAAATTAATAAATAATATTGCCGAATAGTTTAAACAAAATGAGCCACTAGCATTTTATTTTATTTTAGCGAACCCCTACCTGAAAAAAGTAAAGAAATATTTCTTATAACTACAAAAAAATGCTCTTCTTTTAAAGGTAACTAAATTGCTTTTTATACGACATACATTACCAATTAATAAAACACTTGTATTAAAAAAATTAATCAAGTAAAAAAAATAAGTGCCTTCATTTATTTACTCCCCAGGTGTAGATAGATAATGTTTAAATACTCAAATATAGCTAAGTTGTTGAAAAGTAAATCTTTAAGTTTTAGAGACAACATGACTAAATAGTAGTTTGATAAAATTATCAAAACATAAAAATTAATTATTGAAACTAATGTTTAAATAAGTATTTGGCACAAGATCAGTAGAATATTTCTAATGTATTTTTTAATTTCATTTAAACTGTCAAACACCGCAGGGACACCGGTGACCGCAACCTATTGTTGTGTCTATACTGACGGTACTCAAAGGGTTAAAACTGACTTTGCACTACTTTTTGGGAATGTAAATGATTAGACAAATTTTCAATTACTTTTTAAATCTAATTGGAAGCAGGGTCCACTCACAGTAAGAAGTTTATTTATATTGCAGTAGTCTATTCTACATATATTTAAACATTTATATGGTTTAATTCTTATTTTTATGCAGTATTAGAAAATTTCTCAGGCATATATATGGCATTAGGCTCACCCCCTATTAACTACATGGAACTCATAATATAAATAGTGAAAAGTGGGTGTTACTTTGTACAGCGGCATTAAGTGCCGTAATGTGCACCACTGCCTACCTCTTTGGGAATAAAAAGCATGATGTTATGTTAACTATTTATAACTCCAAATACATATGCATAACTTTATTCATTTTATATGTGACAAGGGAAGCCTAAGATTAGTGCCTAAAGGAAATCTTTAGCTGAAAAGATAAAAATAGTAAATGATAAATAACACTTATTATTTCATTACCATACAAAGGTGAGATGTAAAACTTTAAAACTGCTAATTTAAATTACAAAATATTTAAATTTGTAGCACTTTGACCAGACTGTATTATTTCATTTCTAATTCAATAAGTTTCTAGCAAAGAAAGTGGTTTACTATTCACTGTAAATGTTGTCTTGTTGGAAATATTTGTATGTTCAAATATTGGAGAGTAAATAACATTTGCACTTTCATTCATGAACATATACTTTAAGCTCTCTAAAGGATCAAATCTAAACATACGTCTATAAAAACTAAGTCAAGTTTAAACTTGTTTTTATGAATAAAACCCGTTTACTTAGACTTCTAATTGCATAAATAATTCTTATTAGAATTTGTAGGGGGCGATTTGTAGGTGGTTTTCCTGGATATTATTAGGATAATTGTGTATATAACATACCCATCTTTGTCAAATGTTTCATAGCAGGCGTCCATGTCGCTGCAATCGAACTCGTCGACTGGCGTGCCGTTACTGTCTTCCAACATTGGCGATTGGATCGAACTGAGCCGCCAATCCTCGCGACACCCGCTTATAAGCACCTCAAGCATGACTACTATGCGTAACCTTTTGTGACCTATAATGTAAACAACACTTAGTTACGACTTTATTACACAAAATCACCACTTTTTAACACAAATTTATATTACATTAAAGCGCACGTACCATAATAATATATATTTTAAAGTTTTGATTCACCCTTTTTCGAGAAATTATGATGAAATCATTTCCAAATCAAATAAGTCGCCGAAAATGTGTTATGGGAATTTGACATTTTGAATGGTCAAACTGTCACTGTCATGTCAACGCACAACGCACTGACAGACAATAAAAATGTCAAACAACGTTTCATTTTTCAGGATGCAAAATTCGTTAATTTGTTATATTTATAAAAATAAAACAATGTAAAAATTGTGATGTTCAAGTTCATGCTATAATTAAGTTATTTGAAGCAAAATGGGTTGGGAAAAACAAAATTCCAACTGTCACCTGACTTGTTACATCCTTCACCCAGGGTTACCAACTTAAGTGATTTACCCCTGCAGATACAGTAACAGAGGTAGAGTAAACCAATGCAGTGGGATTGTAGAGGGATATTAATAATTTTTTTACCTAAATTATCATTAAATTATGTATAAAATAATCGTTAAACTAAAGGTAAAACATTATATCAAGAGATTCACAACAGTTCTACATTATATCAACAGTTCTACATAATATCAACTGATCTAGTAGTTGTAAAATATTTTGAAGTCTCAACTGCCTGGTTTTCACTGATTATTATAATTATTTAGAAGTTTTCAGACACATTAAATTAAAAATTTTGCGGCATTATTTTCAATAGTTGATAACACTGCTATCCCTCTGTCATCGTCATTCGCATTTCGGGTGCAACTTTACACAGATTAAAAATATTCGTTGCCGCGAGCGTCAGCTGCGTCAGTGAAAAATTTTTCGCTTTGCTTGTAAATGTTTGTATCAAATTACGTTGAAATAACTATTCGTGTCGCATGAGGGTTACTGTGATTGTGATTCCTTAGTTCGTGTAATAGTTGGTGTTTCTGTGGCCGTTGAGGTTATCTACATATTGAATAACGACTTGCAAGATGGTAATAGAGAAAGTTCATGGTCTTCATGCTACGGGGATGAGTCTCCATGATCGGTTTTCGATGTTGGCGAGCGCAGCACCGGATCGTGTACTGCAGAGGAAAAGACGCGCTTCAGTAGGATCCCTAATAAGCCAAAATTACAACTACAGCAACCGTCTGATTGAGCAGGTCGCTCGCCGGTTGGAGATGCAAGCTAAAAGGGTAACTATACGTTTAAATACTTTATCAATATGTTTATTATACGCATTACTATGTTTAAAATCTATTTTCAAAAAGACCACATGTAAATATAAGCAAAATTATGTGAAAATAAATTCCACACCTTGGTGTAGTGTGTTATTATTTATAGTTCTCATAAAATTACGATAATATGTTACAATATAGTAAACATTCACCTTTTTATTGCTACTTAAACTTAACATTAAAGTAGTTATCATGTTTAGTTGCAAGCCAATAACAATTTTATTACACATATCTACTTCAATGTGCGGGAACATGGTATTTTTTGATGCAAATCTGTAAAACATGTTTTCTTTAATTATTTATACAATCTATCTATGATAAATTTCCTCAAACCTTATCTTACTGTTTAAGTATTTGCAATATTTTATAATTTTAGTTAGATAGAAATGTAATTTAGTATAATTAACTAACTTTTATGTAGGTACAACACCTGTATTATTTTCTCTGAATATATATCACATCTCCAAGTAGACTGCATAAAAAAACCGAGGGTTGATTATAATCATCATCATCATCATCATCAACATCATCAAAATCCTATAAATGCCCACTGCTGAGCAAAGCCTTTTCTCACACAGAGAAAGTTTGAGCATTAATCACAACACTTGCTCAATGCGGGTTGGCGATTACAAACTTATAATTAGAAATTATAAGCCCAGGTTTCCCCACGATGTTTTCCTTCACTGTTTGTCATTGGTGTCAGATAATCTTGGAAAGTAAGTAAAAACTCAGAAAACGTCACATTGGTACTTGCCAGGGGCCAGGAGCCTGCAGAATATTACAATTTTGTATGGATGCCTGAATAATTGTAATTTTTTCTGGTTCTATATTTGTTCCTACACTATTGAAAGCAATGGAGAATGCTGATAATAATTATATTTACGAGAATTATAAGACACCAAACCTATAATATTTTCCAAGATTATCAAAGTTAAAGTCAAAGTCAAAATCATTTCTTTCAATTAGACCAGGACGGCACTTTTGAACGTCAAAATCTTATCTTAACCTGATGTTTTGTTTTGTAATAACAAAACAACAAACAAACAAATAACAAAAAAACCAGTATAAACTGACTGTTAAATCTGCAGAAAGATCATATTTATCAGTTTTTTTATTACTTGGTGATGGTTTCATGGAAAACAATTATTAAGCAATTATTGAATTTGGGATATAAATAGTTATTGTGCATATTCTACTTTGCAACATGTAAATTATTTTAACCAATTCTGTCTTTTTACTGTATACGGTTTTGGGCATTGTCCTTTAATAAAATAAAACTGAAGGATATTTTGACATACATTCATTATGTTCAAATACCTGTCAGTTACACCGATAGAAACCAGTCATTGTAAAACAGGCCCTTAGGTACTATATTATGTTTTTAATTCCAGGTAGCACTAAGACAACGGCTAGGTTATCAACAGTCAAACTTACGCCGAGTGGGCAGCGATGGCAACCTAGCAGGACTAAGGAGGTCTAACAGTTTCGGTAATCTCAGCCAACAGAGCATCAAGAATAGAGTGGCTTGGAGACAGTCTAATAATAATCTTAGGTGAGGACCATTATCTATGTGGAGTCTGGAAAAAGCTTAAGCTGTAAATAATTGTTGCCAGTTAGTGAACATGTATATGTTATTGCAATAACTGCAAGATAAGACTTGAATGATAATATTAACCCATATATCTCTAAGCGGTCAACGGTGACCGCTCTCCACGAACTACATTATAGACCTTATTTCCAATGTTTAGAGGCTGCTTTTGTATGATCAAATTTAGAAGATGGATTTCAACGGCTTAATTTTATTTGAAGATTTTTTGATATTAAGGTATTGAAAAAGAACCCACTTAAAGGCCTATAGTTAAATCAATAAGCAGACATGAAGAGATTAATTAATGTAGATGATGTGACAACTATGACGGGGCACACTGGTGACAAGCCGTAATATTTTCTATTCTCCCTTTACAGCAGATCAGCTTCGTTCAGTAACCTGGCCAATCTAGCATGGCGCGCTCGACCAGCACGCGGGTTTCGCAAACGCGGCGGCGGCCAGAGAGCATTACGGGGCAAGCTGAGGTACGACATAGTAACACAAATGTTAAACTAATATGTGATAAAATGGACGTGTAAACTATTTTGTTAATATATATTTTATCTTCCATTTTTATTTCTTTCAGGACTGGTCGTCAAGTAGGAAACCGTCAGGTTGGTCAGTTGAGGCAGCGGAATGGTTTGCAACAGAACGGGCAACAGCGTCGCGGTTTCCAGCAACGCCGAGGAATGCGTCGCCGTGGTGGACAGCAACAGAACGGGCAACGTCGTCAGCCACAACTACAGAATGGCACTCACACACAGAACCAACAGCCGGCGACACACGGACAACGACCACAGACTGCACGACGCGGCCGCGCGAGAGGACGAGGTACGATTTTAAAAGATTGGTGTAGATTCATATTGTAAACACATATTGATGACAAATAAAGACTGATGTTATTACTTCTAACTTGATGGATGAGTGCAATCAATATGGGTGTGTTATTACAGTGTTAATTTTAATGACAAAATCATCGCATTGGGTGTAACCTGTATGATGTGCTGATTTGATTCAAATAATTATTACAAAAATATTTATTTTACAGACATTTTGTAATAGTTTATGTGTAAACTACACATCGACCCAACAAATGTATCAAAAAATGCGAAATTATGCATTTGCAAGTGTACAATAGTGATGCTTGTGTTTAAATCAATTTCCCAAGATGAGCGAAATTCATTTTTTCTTAGAGATCATTAAAGTACATTCTAATGTTTATTTTTGTCATTCCTCAGGTGGAATCACACGCAGCCAGTCACAGAACCCCATTTTAACCAAGGAGGAGTTAGATGCACAACTGGACCAGTACATGTCATGCACTAAGGCAGCTTTAGACCAGGAGCTAGACAACTATATGAGAAACGCCATGGAACTGGAGTGAAATAGAAACTTTTTGTGACTTAGTGTGTGTGTTCTAGTGATTTAAGTGGATGGGTGAGACTTTTATACTAACTCTCTTTGACTAGTTTCTTTAATATAGACCAAGAGCTAACCACTTTGATTTGTAAGACATTTCAAGTTTAGCTCAGTCTCTTGTTGACATTAAAATCTGTATCAATCATCATTTTGTGACGTCATTTGCGTAATGACGTCATCGTTTGCGGAATTGTTTAAAGTTTAATGGTAAAATATATATTGCAACGATTCATATCATTATTCATTAACTTTTGTCTTAGTTTGTGTGAACAGTTGTTCTGATCCAACTTAGTTTGATAATGTAATGTAATGTTTTTATACTTTATGCCTAAAACTGGTTGCAATGTTCATAAATGTAAATATAATATATTAACTATATAGTAGGGTAGTTGCCAGGGTAAGAAAATTAAAAATCTAATTAGTCCGTCAGTTAGATAATGAAAAAATATTAGACACGTATTTTTTTTATTTTCTCGTATAAAGTTACAATACTTAGATAAATGGAGTTAAGTTTAGGAGTGGGAGGTAGTTACGTCACGTTACGCTGTGATGTCACACTACATTTCAAATCAATATATCGCCGAAAGCATTTAATTTTGTGAGAAAAAAAAATACGTGTCTAATGTTTTAAAATAATCTACCAGACGGACATTAGAATAAAATTTAGGAAACTACCCTATTGTTGGTTTTATTTTTTTTGTAAGTAGAAGGAAATTGAATATCTAGAGTTATAATAAATACGAAGCTAAACAACCTGAACTAACTTGGCATTTAGTTTCAACAACCAGTTTTAAGTATCGACAGTCTTCAGCTGGCCTATGGACTATGCAGGGGACTACATAAGAAAAGCTTACCTTATTGCCATAAGGAATACCGTTTATAAGCAATATAATTTACCTAAAATTGTTAAGTCGTAAAGAAACATTTACTTGTTTTCAATATTATGTTATGATTTTGTTTACTAAGCTGCAGCTGTAGCCAAATGCCATTTAGCACTAGTCTTCTTGTGGAATAGAAAGTCGAAGTCAAAGTCAAAATAATTTATTTCAATTAGACCACGAAGGCACTTTTGAACGTCAACAACAAAAATTTAAAAGTGAAGTTGCTCATTCCAAGGTGTAGATTCCTATGGAGAAGAACGAACAAGAAACTCCATTACAATACAATTCTCTAGTTACATTTTGTTGGTACGATTGTGTGAGAACAATGCAACACCTAAAAACCGAAAACCAAATTATATGGAACTAGCTTTTGCCCGCGGCTTCGCTCGCGTCACAAAGTATATACTAATACAAACAGCGCCATCTATACCAATACTTTTGTTTTCCCTCGGGAATATCAAATTTTTCCATGATAAAAAATACCCTATTATTTAATCTGGACTTCTAACTTTACGTCTGCAAAATTTCAAAGCAATCGGTTTAGTAGTTACGGCGTGAAAGCGGAACAAACAAACAAACTCACTTTCAGATTTATAATATTAGTAAGGATTGACGTAAATTTTGACACTTGTCAGTGTCATCCCCATACAGTTAATTTTCTACTGTCTCGGTAGACAAGCGCTAAAGTGGCATTTGGCTAAATGCAAAGCAAACATTAGGGTTTAGTACCAGTTTGTCTCTTGTTACCTGTTTGTCAAGATTGGAACTAGACCGCGTTCGATGCTCTGATTGGCTGGCTCCAGCGAATCAACCAATTAGAGCGCCGACATTAACGTACTACAAAACTGTTACTGATATAAAATTAATGTTCTTAATATTAAACGGACATTTAGGAAAAGACGTGATGTTATGTTGACTTAGTATAAGTCTTTACACAAATCTATTGGCATTTAAAATACAACTGACCAAACAATTAAAAATATTACCGATTTTTTTTTTAAACTTAAATTAAACTGACTATTTAGTTGATGAAAAAATGATCGTAGATATTAGTAAATTGTAATTTTATCAGCTAAATTGTTATATGAATAATTTATATCATATGACTTCCTTTTTGTACATTTTATATGAATTAGTATATGCCCAATCTTACCTAGCAGTATAAATTAACAAATATCAACTTCCTAACTCGGAATGCTATTACCAAATTGACATTTCCTTCTTTTGACCCTCTTTTTTATAACTGTCCTGGCGTTCGGTCACTTTTTTTATACACCATATTTTTCATATTATTTATTAGTCAATTTAATAAGCACCTTTTTTGTTTCCCTTTAAGGCTGATATTACGAATTTGTTTGTGTAAATAATGATTATCATAAATTCTTCCATGGTTATGCAAAAAATGGGCCGGCTCGACCGGAGTGATACCACGGTCTCGGAGAAAACCGACGTGAAACAACGCTTGCGAAGTGTTTCACCGTGTGATTGAGATCAGTAGAGGCCCAAATCTGTCCGTAAAAGGTCGGTAACGCACTTGTAACTAAGGAGTAACACTCCTCAGAGGTAATGCTGTGGGTGTCCATGAGCGACGCTAAATACTCACCATCGTGTCCATGAGCGACGCTAAATACTCACCATCAGGTGATCCCTCTGTTCTTTTTATTATCTTTTTTGCTCAGTTGAAACCAAAAATGTTGGTTAATTGTGTTCTGTATATCTCAACTTTGTAAAACTAGGTTGAAAAATGACATTATTTTTTTTATTTACTAAGATAAATCATTGTAAAGTTATAATGAAAACATACATAATGTGTATTATAAAATTTACCAAGTACATAGTATCGGTAAATGATACGTGTTGTTAGATCCTGACTAGCGTAAATTATTGTGTATATGTATAAATATTTCTATTTTAGCATGTTGCACATTCATGATTAATTGAAATATTCGACTAAATTACACGATACTTTTTAAAATAGTAATTTAAAAAAGTATCGACTAGTTTTTAACTGGAACCGGGCACTCCGGTCATGTGTATAAGTCCCGGTGTAGACTTGAAACTAGTCGAGCTTTTTTTGAGTAAATCGTATATTTCAAATATCTCATGATAATTACTGTAAGTAATACAAGAATGTACACATGTTTAATTTAGAAAACAAAACTGTACCTTTTTTGAGTAGATACCCGTACAATAACATGTAAAGAAGAGTAGCGCAGTGGTAGACCAACTGGCTGTTGTGCAACGTGTCGCGAGTTCAAACCTGTACGGTGCAACTCTTTGGTTGTTCCGAGTCTGGGTGTCATGTGAATGTGAATTTCTATAATTGTAGCGTTTACAATTACATAAGAGACATAAGAGAATATCATAGGGTTAGAGAAATAATTCTTTTGTAAATTACGTTTAAAAAAACCGACGTCAACCTCTTTTTTAAATCGGTTAATGAATACATTAAAACCTTCTCCTAAGTGTAACAGACACTTTTTTGAAAATCACATCAAAATCGGTTCAGTCTATTACGAGATAATTGCGCACAAACATACATACATTCATAGAGGTCAAATTAAGAACCTACTTTTTTTGTAGTCGGTTAAAAATATGGCGTGGGTCTCAGATCGAAAGCCTGTGTAGATACAGGATTCTATTCTATATGATAAAGAACAAAATTGATAACCTCTCAATTGTAGTCAGGTAAATTGTTTTTTACTCATGTAAAAATTGTATTGTTTTGTTTGCATATTATATATGAGTGGTCGATTTCTATGTAGGAAAATTATTGTTGGATAAAATCTTGAGTGAATACTGAAAATCTCTTCAGAAATGATCTCTGGAAATGCCGATATTGTCTCGCCCTTTTTTTTAGAGTATTTAGTAGTATGTAGGACATACAAATAAATTATATTCAATTGAATTATTAAAAAAAAACAATGGAGTTAGGAATCGACCATTATTATACAATAACATGTATATTTGCTTATTTTGACGAAATCATTTGTAATTTAATTAAAACTGAGTTTAGTATCATTTAGGTTACATAACAATTTAAATTTTGATACCATAGAGAAAGAGAAAAATCAGTCTGTGATCGTTTTGTCTATGGCCGCCGTAAAGCCACGATGCCAATGACTATTGTATGTTTTTTTTGCTTTTTACCCCCAAATGTATCTGATTCAAACACTTTTAGGGGTTTAGCGTCAAGTCATATTAGCGCAGGATCGGAGCGTCACATAAAAATATCATTCAATTTGAACCAGTACCTTTGGAGATTACAGCGTCAGAGCGTTCAAAAAAAATATATTTATGATTAGTATACATTTGACACTTCGATGCGTTTCAAGTCTACGCTAATGTGAATTGACCCTTAAATGCTATAGAATATTATAAAAGTGCCTGAGTTTCCGTCTGAAACTAGTCTAAATCTTTGTTTCGACCTAATTATCCTAGTTTTAAGGTTTAAAATTGTTAAATATGCTTCCACTTCTTTTTGTACTCATTGCGTGACGATGTCACAGTGATACCATTGATGTAAATACATACATAGTAAGATGTGAGTGTGCATAATAAATACTTACAGAAATACAATTTAGTTTTCTTTTTCTACGTAACATAACGTCGCTTATTATCAACCTAGCTTCTACCAGCGACTTCGCCCGCGTTCTCGTGGGTTTAACCTGTGCTTTAACCCATTAGTTATATCCCATTATACCCATTATTAGCCTATTAGTTATTGTAGACCATAATCTACCTCCCTTCCAAATTTCATCCAGATCTCTTCAGCCGACTGCCTCGCTGACCTAGTGGTCGCAAGTGCGACTGCCGGGCAAGGGGTCTCGGATTCGATTCCCGGGTCGGCCAATGTAATACTGGGTTTTTAAATCGAGCTTAGTGGTTGTAGTCCGCGAGTTATTAGAAGCTTTTGTTCAGCAATGGACTGCAACATGCTGACAATGTTTACTCACGTAATTATTTTACGAGGAACTCGGGACTAGTTTCAAGCCTTTTTTTGACTTCACGCTTCGACTGCACGGTTGGTGCGGTGGCTGGGCAACCGGCTGCCGTGCAACGTGTCGCGGGTTCGATTCCCGCA